TTTTTTGTTGTAGCCGACAAGTGCTAATGTTATTTTGCCCATCAACGTGCTTAGGCGTTTACGTTTTTAAATAAACGACTAAAACCCCTTGAACATCTGCAGACTACCCCAAATGAGTTTAAAGATTTATGCTATCTACTGACTGTCAATGCGGTCCATGATGCTCCGTCATTTAAGAATTGGGAAGGTATTGGGCCTGCAAGGTTAGTCGGAAGAACGGTGAGATTACATTATGGCTAATTATTTCTGGAACTACATGAATGGTTACCTCGCCAGGAATGATAACATAATACGCCAAGCTATTATTTCAAACCATTCACATGTCCGTTAACTTGCGTATTTCTACTTTTTCTTATTCGATTTTCAGAGAAAAGTTGGTTGAACAATTCCGAAACATGCTCAATTTTGAGAATGCAGATAAAGACGGTGCGGCTGATTTCTATACTTTAATTTACCTTTTCACATAGATCAATCAGCAAACATTTCAATCATTTTTAACTAATAAGGATCTATCTACGTGCCTCCGAACCGACTTCTTACACTCCTCCGACAGGCTGTTGCATATCAAATAGAGTTCTCTCGTTATCATCCGCGTGTTGCGCCAAGGATTAACACGTGAGTTATAATAACAAAAATGAAAGAAAGGAAGGAGGAGATGATGAGAGAGAAATGGAGAGTAGAAAAGTTAGGATTGTGTGAATATGAAACTGTGCAAATGATGAAATTGAAAAACATTTGTTTATTAGGTTAATCTAATTTATTGTCTATAACGTATTTGTCAGACTTTTACAGGATTACACGAGTCTAATAATACCGAATGCTGTTAGAGCTACATTGATCGGACACAAGGGTAACGTCAAATGTGTCGAGTTTGTCGGTGAAGCCGGTCGAAAGATTGTCAGCGGATCAAGGTATACGGTTGCGTTTAAAGTCGAAAGCATTATTTCTTATCGTCTTTATTACCTATTGTCGTATTGTGACATTTTGTTTGTTTGTCCGTTTACAGTGATAACACAATTAGAGTATGGGATACAGAGACATCGAAGCAACTTGCAGTGTTTGAGGGTCATGAGTCTCGCATATGGGATGTTTTGTCCAATAAAAACGGAACTATAATATCTAGCGCTAGTGGAGATAGTACTATTAAGGTATCGTAAAACATCGTTTGCGGAATAATGAAAGATGTTGCAGGTATTGGTTCCTGCATCTGGCTTATCGCAACTTTCTTATTTCCACATGTCAGTTATGGGATATGAAAGCTATCAAGAACGCTTGCTTGAATTCAATTCCTTGACATAGTGGTGATGTCTATTCAGTTAGATTTCATCCCGGCGACGTAAGTTATATTGCATTATTTTAATACCGGATTGATATTTTTCCAACTTGGATTCCTGTTTTAATTATAGAATCACATCGTGAGCGGTGGCTATGACAAGATTGTTCGCTTGTTTGATGTCAATACTGGTTGGTGAAGATGTTTAACGGCCATCAGTTGGCGGTATCCAAGACAATATTTCATCCACTTGGGAATCTCATCGTAAGCGGGTAGGTACATTGAATATCATAATTAGTTTTAACTATGCTCTAAAATCTTTTTATTTGACGTATACCCAGGTCCAAGGATAATACTATCAAGTTTTGGGATATGTCTCCGGTTTATGCATAAGAACTATTTCTTCTCATCTGGGAGAAGTAACATCGGTCGAAATGAACACGAATGGAACCATTCTTTTGAGCAGTTCTAAAGACAATTCCAATAGACTGTGGAACGTAAGAATGGTAAAGATCGTAAAGTCACTTACTAGAACAAAAGGCTTGTATTGATCATTTACTCATGCTCGCCGCCAAAAAAGGTACGGCCCATTCGAAGGCTTAAAGTCACCAAAATACATCCAAGAACTTTATTAGGGCTGGATTTGCGAGTGATTCCTTGATAGTTGGTGGATCAGAAGTACGTGTCAATTTGTGGATCACGTAGTGACATTTGTTACCATTGCGCTGCTTTTTAATACGCCATGTCCATTAATTCTATAAATATTATCAGGATGGAATTGTATACATTTGGGACCAAGACACTGGAGAGGTTTTGCAAAAGCTGAAAGGTCACTCCGGAATGGTGTATAGCGCGGTCTGGAATAACAAACAAAGTCTATTTGTGAGTTGTAGTAACGACAAGACACTTAAAACATGGTGGTATGATGAGAACGTATCTCTTGAGTTATAACACACAACGCAACTTTTTTTTCCACTTCAATCGACACTATTTACAAGCATTAGCAGAAGCTCTATAGAAAATTCCCGATATACAAAGATAATATCAACCTAGTTGCTTGTTTTGTTTATTTTGTTTTTGTCAACGTTTTTAAATGATTGACTTTTTGATTGAAAACTTAGTAATGTCTATGTCTCAATATCTAATTAAAAAAGGGTGAATAATTACAATCATAACAATCTCCATTATTCTTCATTATAAGAAAATTAGTAAAGCAAATATTATAATAGTACGATATTATTATTATGGTTAAAAATACAGCGTAATAAGTTATGACAGAATGCCGTGACCGTACTTTTTCCATACTGATTCAGTTCAAGTGCAATTAAAGTGTTCCATTATCATTATTATCCGAATAGTCACTTTCATGAGACCAATAGAGAGAAGAGAACGAATAGACCATAAAGAATACCCCAAGCGCAATGCACGTCAAATAAACCATGTATCTTTGGTGTC